AAAAAAAAAACAAAGTGCATATAAAAGTGAGGGTTTCATTTCAAGTGCGCACAATCGTATATGGACATATTCATTCCGTATATGAGTATCCTATTTGTTTTATGCGCAACATTAATTCACATATTACTTACACTTTGAGGGTGAAATTTTCATGCATGTACACAATTGGCCTCCGCTGGCAGCCGACTGCCACTTGCGCAGTTTAAGCGAACAGATCGTGCGCGCACGTTTATTTTTTTACATATGTTAGTGCTTCGTATGTACGTACGAAGCATCATAGTGTACTATGTATAATGCAGGTAAGAATCATCACATTGCACACTATTTATATTTATATGTACGTACCAAGCATTACATATTGTTCCTCGTATTTATATGCACATTCCCCTTGTGCACGTGTGAACATATGATCAACTGCTCAGCGAAGAACAAATCGTTGAGTGGTGAAATCGCGCTCACGCGAGTGGCGTATGCGCAACCCAGTTTGTTTTATGTGCCAAACCATTTTATCACACGTGAAAAGTATACAACTTATGACTGCACATATATGTGGTACTATGCGCTCTTAAAGTGAACGCATGCGCATAACCATATGGGCCATATTATAACATGAACATATGCGTTATATACTTACACGTATTAAATGCGTATACGTGTGGCGCGCGCATATAAATGTGATACATGCACGCAAGCTCAGAGGAATGTGTCACTTACATATTTATAGCTTACATTATGCCACATATATAAACTATATGTGTTCATTTTTACATGTGCCACAAAACATATGCATACAAGGCCTACCCGTATACATACCGTAAACACGTTTGCATTTATTCTTAAAAAAAGAAAAACAAAAAAAAAAAAAAAAAAAAACGGAAAAAACCCAAAAGTTGAATGCCACAATTGTTAATTCAAATTGCATTCCAAAAAAAAAAAAAAAATTGGAGGGCAATTCCCACGGACTGCTAAAAGAACAGGGGAAGTATATATATATATATAAATAATAAGGCGGAGATGCAAATGGGAGGAAAAATTAATTATTCATTTATTTGCATATTGTTCCTGCTCGTTCATCTTCATGTTGTTTATATATATTTGCATCAAATATGCCTATTTTAAAGAATCATTTGTTGTATTTTTTTTTCCCCCTTAAGCATTCTTTTTTAAAATTATATATCATTTTCTTTTTAGTTCACTAAAATTTGTTTATGCGTATATAATAAAACCAACGCGGACCAGGCGCAGCAGTAGCTTGCTAAAAAAAAAAAATAAAAACTGCTCAAAACAGGTGATATGATTTATATATACATATATATGCATATATATATATATATATATATATATACATATTAAATATATACATTTTATATATATATATATAACGTGCAATCCATGATGCATTATATGCAAAGAAAATAGAATTGAAAACAGCATGATTAAATTAAAAAACGCAAAATTAAGCGTAAAAAGGAAGGAAGAAAGGTGGTAAGAAGGCAAGGTGTACCATTTGATCCGATATAAAATTAAGATACAATAAAGGATTAAGAACGTTATATAACGGAATTAAAAAAATAAATAAAATAAAGTAAAATATTAAAAATAAGGCACAACAAAATAACTCATAAGGGATTGAAAAACAAAAAAAAAGAAAAAAGCCAAATCGATCGTAGGATATAAGAACATAAAACACAGTATAGTTATATATATATATTATAATCTTCCCCTAGTTTTGCATTTTTAATTTTTGTATTTTTTTTTTTTTTTTTCCTTTTTTTCCCCTTTTCCCATTTTCCCCCCTTTTTTCCATATCCTTTTTTTTTTTTTTTTTAATTTATATACGTGCTTGTAAAATATTTATACACAAATTATTCTAGCCACAGGGGGCGTAATATTAGTCCCCGCTCTTAATACCAGAGTTGACGCATTAGCATTTGCGCTTATGTACATATGCATATGCAATTGTTTTTATATATATATATATATGTACATACGTATATACACAAAGCGCACATATCTGTACGAGGCCGCAGGTGTTGAGGCATCCCCCATGTGTTGTTTATGGCATATGCGTATGTGACAAGTCCCGGGGCTTAGACCCATTCAGGGAGAACCGTGACTTGGCATTTACACCCAGCGCGAGTGCAGTATCTTTGCAGAGCTGCCCGTGCTGCTCCCGGTTCATTTCCGCTACTGTTTTGTGCGACTAGTGCCTTGTATGCACCTGTACATACGTGTGTATGCGTCCAGGAGCGAAACAACCTTTAAGGTACGCCCATGCATAAGTACACATAAGTGCGGATACATGGGTGCACATTACATACGGGTACATATATATCTGTGCGCTCCTACTTATGCATGCTCGCCCGTCCATTGCACCCCCGCATGTGCGCATTGATACCACGTGCACGCAAAGAGGGCGGCACGCAAACTCATACATGACAAAAAAAGGTTAACGGGGCAGGAAGGAACAAGGACGTTCAGAGTAGGGAAAGGCAGACACAACAGTAACAAAACGACCATAGCACATAATTGAAAGGAAAAAGGAGGAACTTTTCTTCCGCCTAGTTAATTCGTATTTAACATGGGCAGAAGTTTTGAGGCCAGCATAATTATAGTCAGCCATCCGAGCGCGCGCAACACACTTTTGGCGTATGCTTAGCTCACGTGGAAGTTGCGTACGGAACCTTCTTGTGTGCGTGGTCGTGTACTTCGTCGTGTGCGCGCCCCCGCCCCGTCCACGCTCATACACGTGTATGCATATAACATATATGTGCATATATGTATATGTGTGGTGCACACATACACGAGTGAGCATCCCCTTGGCGTTTGCACTTGGACATACCCTCCATACATATATGCACGCGCAACAATACGGCCCATCTTCAACATGGATGCAATAGCGACGGATAAAGAAATCACCACCAAAAATGAGGAGAAAAACGTAAACGGAAATGATCTTCTAATGGGGTGGTCAAGTGTAAAAGAAAATGAAGGAGAAGTAACATATGATAAAAAAGAAGACGCAGAAATATCTATGCATATGAACGAGCAAGATAAATTAGACGTACCATCATTGGTCGAAATATGTAAACAACAATTGATAGTAATTTTGAAGGACATGTGTGCCGATTCGAATAGTTCAGATGAAAAAACTTCGTTTATGTATCACCTGAACAGGTTAAGGAGTGCAGTAACCGTTGTAGATTTGCATAATTATATTGCCGTTTTCGGCCCATGTTTAAGTTATAACAAATTGCCCTCCACATGGAACATATCCGTATGTGATTATTTAAAGCAGCAGTTGAATATACTTCGAGCTGCGGACTCACAACAGAATTCGAGTAACTACGTGAGCTATTTAGAATTACATAACGATTATGAAGATATTTTAAATCACAAGAAAGGAAACACAACGATGACGTCTAGTAACAGCATAGAAGGAAAAATTAATTCGAATAATATAAACTCGCATTTGTCCATGAAAGGTAGTAGCATACATATGAATTCTGCTAACAGTACGAATAATGTGAGCGGAAATGTAAATGGAAATGCTAATGGACATATGAGTATGAATACGGATGGGGGCAATCTAGGATCTTTCGCATTAGGTGATGATGAAGATAATAATATTGTAGAACATTATTATGAGTGTCTCATGAGGACCAAATTATCTGATGATTCTCCTAATTGTGTAAAATATATGATGAACTCTAAAAATGATTCCTTAAGCAATACGGAAGTGGAAAATGTGATATCGTATTTGAAAAAGTACGAAGTGAAAGCGAATAAAAATTACCTCAGTTTGGAGGATGAGTTGAAATATACCAGAGATTCAGATTTTGAATACCAGGAGGATTACCTAAAGGATAAGACTTTGTATGACTCCGATTTGGATGATAATAATTTATTTGATAGTAACCTGATAGGCAGCAGCAGGAACATGAATGGAAGCAGTAGCAGCATGATGAATATGAATTTGGGCATTCCGAGTAGCGGAACGGCAAACAACAATAACAGTAACAATTTGAGTAACAAGAATTATAATATGAAATATGATTCTATGAAGAAAAATAATAGCGATGTTATGAACACATGGGCGAGAGCATGTACGGAGGGACATCCTGAATATCTTCCTAGAATCCCTGGGGTTCGATTCAATCCGAAGAAGCAACAATGGCTAGCTGCTTGGAATGATAACACCAGGGAGATCAGGAGGTATTTCTCCGTTAAGCAATACGGTTTTGAACAAGCCAGAATTTTAGCCGTGAAAGCTAGACAAGAAGCTGAAAAGGCAGGCGCCAGATGCAAACCCATGTTCCATGTGCATGGAAGGAAGCCAATGGAAAACGCGGCAAATGATATGATGAAGAGTAACAATGATATGATGATGGAGGATGGTAGCATGGGGAATAACAATATAGGCGGACACAACAACATGGGAGGAAGTAACGTGGGTGGCAATATGGGCATGATGAGTAGTAGTGGACACAATGCGGCCCACGTAGGAATGAACATGGCGATGAACAGTGGAGGCATGCCTGGAGGAGGCACACACGAACATATGAATAAGAAAGATTTATTGAAAAATGAGAATAATAAAGGAATTAAGAGAGGAAGAGGGAGGCCTCCTAAGAGGAAACTTAGTGAGAATTCACAACTCTCACTAGACGATATGGAACAGACTTTGTGTAGGAATGGGGGGGAAAACGCAGAATTGATGGAAGCCATGGATTCGTTTGATAAGAATTGTACCAGACCCATGAAGGGAGTATCTTACAATGATAGGAAGGGTTCTTGGCTAGCTTATTGGTCCATAGGGAAGAATTTCCAAATGAGAAGATTCCCCATAAAAAAGCTAGGGTTCGAAAAGGCAAAGGAGCTAGCCATTCAGTGCAGATTAGAAGCAGAACAAGCAGGAGCGACAACGACGGAAAATAGAAACAAAAGGATTAGAAACTTGCTAAGTATGAATTCGGACAATACGATGGATGTAATGATGGACATGAATTCTCTAGACCCAGATGATAACCTAAATGATACGAATAAAAGCATGAATGGAAATATGATGATGTCGCAGATGCATTACTATAATGCACATGGAATGAACAACAACAATAATATGCACCCAAATAAAATGCCACATAGCGATTGCCAAGAGAGCGAAAATGATTATTCGCCTACGAAGAGGACAAGGGCACCAAGGGGAAGAAGAATGGAAAGCCTAACTGCACGTGCTAGTGCTTTGACCCCAGTAGAAGGGGTTCGCTTCGACCCATATTCTTATTCCTGGTTCGCCAAATATTTAGAAAATGAGAATTCCAAAGAACCCAAAATCTCCAAATACCTTTTAAAAAAATGGGGTTTCAATAAGGCACACAGTTTGGCTGTGCATACGGTAAAGTGCGCCTACAAAGCTGTGCCGTTTACAGACGAGGAGCTGATTAACATATTTAATGTAGACTCGAAAAACCTCGTAAATAACCAGAACAGCTTGATGAACTTGGCATTTAAAGACACGTACGGAAATACCGCAGGGGCGACTGGAAATGCCTACAACGACAAGAACTACGGTGCAATGGGGGTCCCGAGTTCAGCGAATGACGCGCTTATGGGAAATATGGGGTACATGAATGGTGCCATGGGTAGCAACGTTGGCATGGACCATGTGGTGGGCGGCATGGGTATGGGCACAGGTGGTGGCGGCAACTTCGCGCAAAATATGGACCCATACAAAGGAGGCGTAAACAATACGCATGGCGTCATGAACAACATGGGTAACAGCTCCACGCAGAATAACCCAGATATGAGCAACATGAATGATGAGGGAACGGCTGTCGGGAATGGAAGCAACAGCAACATACAAAGTAACATGGACAATGCGAAAAGTATGCTAAACAACGTCGACGGCGCAAACAATATGAATGCCGCCAACAAAATAGACATGATGAACAGCTGCACGTATAACTACAATAGTGGCGTAAACGACAACGCAGGGGGGGTAGTGGCAGCTGGAGCTAGCCAAAATAATTACCACCACGGGGGATTATTACCCAACAGCGGAATCATTATCGGTACCAGCTTAGGTGAGAACAATGTGAACGCCGCATCATCCATGAAACACAATACAACCATTGGAGATGGAGTAAATATGTATATGAATGAACAAATGGGGTTAAATGCAAACTACAGTGGGAAAGGTTTTCCCTCAGGAGAGGTGTTAGGTGCGTCTTCAACCCTGTTGGACGATGAAAATTCAAAGGTGTTAAACAAAGCACACCTAATGGACAGCAGTAATGGCGCAGGAAATAACTGCAGTGAAAATCTCATACAGAATGGTAGTGTAGATAATTATATGATGCTTGGCGAGTGCATGCTAAATAATAACAGAGAGGTGGGCACGGCTCATGTCGGCAACAAGACAATACGTGGAGGTGGGGGATCAGCATGTGGCCATCACCACATGGATGACCCAACTGCAGTGCGACTAAACGACATGCACATGAATGCAGAGAATGACATGAACGCCAATCCAGCAAATACCCAATACGGCATTGCATCTACGGGTTCTAACATGAACATGAATTCTGAATCGGTCATGGATAAGGGCATGGTCAACAATGACAATAATAATAGCGTCCTGGAGGGGCGTGAGGGTATAGACAGTAGTAGAGTTGTGGACAATCCCTTGGAGCAAAGGAAGTTTGTAAATATTATGAACGAGTCAGGCAATATTGATAACGGTGTAAACAATGACAACGGCGCGAATAGTAGCTATGCTAATAATAGCCCATATGGCCCAAACGCAGGTACCAATTTTAACACGTATGATGGTGAAAACGGGGGCACGTCCAATATGATTGGCTCTAATGCAAATGAGCTTAACGAGTCCTCCATGTATTACATGAATGTGAAGCCGGAGATAAAGACCGAACAGTGAGGAGGAATCACCAGCATTGTGAGCACGAGGAGTATAAGAAGCCAAGGAGGCAAAAAAAAAAGAAAAAAAAAAAAAAACGCATACGACGTGCAATGAGCCAAGTGGACGGAAGAGTCCGGAGAAGGCCAAGCCCAAGGGCCATCGTGGAACAAGCGAAACGAATAAAAAGTTTGGCGAGCAAGTCGGATATGACAGTCGTACCAGGACGGAGACAGAGTTGCACTGAGGCGTCCCTGTGTGATGTATGCGACGTCGTATGAAAGCACGATTATGTGCCAATGTGTTTGGCCCACCATATTATTGGTAGCGAAGCAGAGCGAAGCTTTTTTTTTTTTTTTTTATTTTATTGTACCCGTTTATGAACTATATGTATTGACAAAGTATTTGTCATGTGTATTGGCCATGTATTTGACCTGACCATCCATGGTGCCATTTATTTATTTATTGTTTTTTTTACCGTGTTACAAGACACATCGTTATTGCTACATAACTGTGTTTGCAATTCGTTGATATATATATATATATATATGTATATATGTGTAATATGTATATATATATATATATATATATATATATGTTTTTTTTTTTATATTGTATTTTGTTCTATTTTTCTCTTCCCATTCGTTCCCAATTATTCGATTCCACCATTTGTTTTCACCATTCGTTTCTCCACCATTCGATATTATACTCCCCCTCTCCAGATGGGCATTTTATTTTTTAAATAATTTAATCAAGTATGAATTTATATGTTTTTATAAACAACCCCTCCACCCTTCCTTATATTTCCCCTTGTTAATGCGCAAAGGCGCGTGTTTTTATGTCTTGTATGAGTGTGCATAATGTGTATATATATACACAAAGGCACGCGCACGCGCACACAAGCGAACAAACACATGTCAGTGTTAAAGTGTTACCTGCGTTGCATATATGTTCGTGTCATAACCCATAGATTGCACACGCGTTGCCCGTTTGCACTTTTACACTTTATTAATGACCAACATACCGTATTTAATATATTTTTTTTTCCTTTTTTTTTTTTTTTTTTTTAAATGTAAACCTATCTCCTTTGTACATGTAGATTCGTGTATGTGCACATGTACGGGGATGCACATGTGTGTATATTTTATCTTCATATATATTTGGGGCGCTTTATATGTACGGACTTGCATATGTGCCCATTATTATATGTTGTCTACCGCATGTGCTGTTTATGTTATAAAAACATATTTCAACATTAATAAAAGGAAAATAAATTTTTTTTTTTTTATATCATATTAAAACAAAGTTGGAAGAATAGGAGTTTTTGTTCTTTTTTTTTTTGTTCTTTGAACATCCCAGTGGATGGGAAGTTTTAAACATGTCCTGATTGGCGATTTGTTTTCGCGTGAAACCCGGCTTAGATCAGCATAGGGTTAAGAAAAATGAGGATAATTACTTCCATCCCTTCGTATAAAACTTGGATAGACACAAATAAGCATATATGTGTACAACATGAGTATGTGTATTTCCGCAAGGTCGGCAAAAAATCTGCTCCGTTCCCCCGGATTTACAAACATGGGTACACAGTTGAGCAAGTGAAGTGACAAAATGGGCTGGCATGCTCAAACGGTTGCTTCTCTGTGTATGTGTGTGTGTGCCTTTTTTATGCGCCCTTTTTTTTTATCTTCCCTTTTTGACGAAATTAGCAATGTTGGTAATTCTCTCACGTAACTTTGGTGTGATTTCCGGCTTGGCTCTTTGGTGAATCTCCAGGTGCTTCAATATTTGACCAGCTCGATACCAGTTAATGTCGCTATTCTGTCGCAAACTCATAAATAAGTTGTGTTTGCCATCTAGGAGCATGCCTCGTGTCTCTTTTAATTTTCTGTTCGCCTCAAGTGATAACCTTTCCTGCTTCTTGGCATCCTTGTAATGTTGGCTTTGTTTAACTCCGTAAGGTATTTTGTCCTTTATCTTTTTTAGTAAGTTGACCCGACACCGCGCGATCATTTTTTTTATTATTATCTTCCTGTTCTTCTTATGTCGTGTGGACGGCAACAGCTTGTACAGATATGCCCTTGTGGGTGATGGCCCGCTTGTAGGTTGCTCTGTAGAACAATTATTGTCTCGTATATTTATGTATGCATTTGGAGGAGGCTGTTGTTGGGGGTAGACAAATGGAAGACAACGGATGGTGAATTGACCCGTGAACCCCAAATGGCAAATTTACAAAATGACAAAAAAAAAAAAAAAAATGATCAACTTTAGGGGAACACTTAATGGGATTGTTACATCGGGGTGAATAGTTGGATGGCATGTTTTTTTCTTTTTTCTCTGTCTCTCCTTACACCCCTACGCTCAGTACACCACGACCTTCTGTACTGTGTTCGCTTTTATCACACACAACAGGATTGTCAAAATGTACTTCCTTCAAGCGCTTGCACACATAATACGCGCTTCAAATAGGCTCAAATGGGAATGCTTCGGTGAAATTCGTATTGCAGACTTGTTGCATCAACTAGCATATGGCGCACCTGCACACATGCCCAGCGGCAACGGCATCTATACGTGCATAATATATACAACTAAAGAGGGGGGAGCTTCCCGTGTTGTCGGATGCACACATAAGAAACGTATTAACAATATATATTTTTTGTTTGTATGTAAATGTGCACAGACTATATCATGCCGGGAGGTATACTGAACGCCACTGCTGCCAGCAGGAAGTCGGCATGCAGGACATTCCGTACCCTTGTACTTGACGCTTGCCCATTTGAAAGTGTCCCTTTATCGCTTAATTCATCATCAGACTTTAAAATGTAAGAAAAAAAATCCTTATCCTTTATTAGAATTTCGTCATTATTGTCATAACACGGTAAGTCGCTCTCGTCATAGAGTTCGTTTCTGTGGTTGGCATTTCCCGTTTTGTCATTTTCTTCCTTGGTAGGAAATTTACTGAAATTTTTCTTGTTGGTATATTTTACGATTTTTTTTTTTTTTCTTTTATCCTTCAAAACCATTTTGTTCAAATGTTAGAAGTTCCAATGACTTAACAAGAGAAGAATTTCCTCTACGGGATGCCCAACATGGTTTTAATAACAACCCAGGGGAAACACATAAATATATATATATGTATATTTTTTTTTTTTTTTTTTTTTTTTT